AGATCTCTCCTCTATATATATATATATATATATATATATATGACCACTAGGGTTAGTCTAGTGGTTGGGTGGGGAGAGATTAAGGTAGTTAGAAGCACGAGGACCTACGTTCAATCTTAAAAAAATGTAAGATTATATTATGTGACACTTAAAAAAATTCATATTGTCTATGATTTATGTTATTGATTCATCTTAAAATAAATATTAAAAATTTAAATTAGTAAATTTTAATTTTGAAGGATAAAAAAAAGTTACAAAAATCAATTTCATTTTTTTATATAGAAAATTAAAAATTTTAAAAATATTTTATAGAAACTAGAATTTAAACCCATTTATCTTATTAAAATTAAAAACATATGTTAGTCGAAAAAATATTACCGACAGTAATAATTTTTTTTGTTACTATTTTTGAAACTTCCCAACCTATTCGGATTTCGATCCCCTACAGTTAGGAAAATAACAGCATGTGTTGCAGTTCCATCCTTCACCAAACATTTCCTTTTAATTTGAGACACTTCATACATTTATTTATTTTTATAAAAAATAATAACTTTAAAAACAATTGTGTAATGTTCAGTTACTGAATGAAAGTTTTCATTTGTAATAGAATATAACATACAATTGTTAAAAGACAATGGTAATTATTTAAAAAAAAAATTAATAATAAAAAGATAAAATGGTCTACCAAATATGAAGATAAAAAATAATTATTAAAAAAAATATTTCTTTATATATTACTATAAATATATAATTTTTTATCAAAAAAATTATTAATTAAAATATTAATTGATGCCTGAGATTGATGCAGTTAATTTGGAACCGGAAGAGATGTTTAGAATTTCTAGATATTTGTCTCAATTATAATACTGCCTATTGCTCAGATTACGGTGTCACCATAACTAAGGTTCAAGTGATAACACTAACTTCATTCTTGAGTCTTGACAAACATGCCTGATATGAATATTGACAGTTAGATAAAACTCGGTATAAACAATGCATAGTTAGAACATCCTTCCCCAACATATTAATATTTGACTTGTCAATGTGTCATATTTTTAACTAAATAACAATGTCTTGTCATATTGAAATCACTAGAGATTCTTAATCAGTGAACTATTTACAAACAATTCGACTCTATTCCTTTCTTTTATTACAAGTACAAAATGTACGTCAGTTCTAGTATTCATTTGATAGTAAAATTATATAATAGTGGATGATTATTAAAAATGTAGATGATTATAAAGTGAAATTTACAAAAAAAATAAATAAATTGTAATTTATAAAAAAAAAACTCCTTTATTAATAATATAGATAACACAGAAAGTAGACCACTGAGAAAGGAGGTCATTGCTTGAAATACTTTTCAATGTCATTTACCAAAAGAAACAAATAGAATCCTATCGGGAAAAATTAATGGGAGAGACTAGACTCTAAATTTCCTGTCAGTTCATTCAATCATTCTCGTAGATTTTGCCCTTGCTCATTGTGCTATCACACTGGTTATGATCGACAATTAAGGACATCAATAAAATCTCATTGCATTCAAGTTTCTTATCCAATTTCTATCAATCTCCAACATACAAGAAACTGTTTATCAGAAAATTTTAACTTGACTAGCAGAAACAACCAACTCTAGTCGACCTTATCAACATCTCATTAGAAAATGACACCTACCACAATAGCTTATATGGATGAGAGCTACAATCACATTCAAACCATATACAGCATCTATCCCATGAGATCATGACAATACAGGAACTTGGGGACATCACATCACGCATAAATCACATTTTTCCATTCTATATTTCCTCGCCTTAGGACATCTTGACTAACAGTTACAAGAATTCTTCAGAAAATAAAAAAAGGACTTACAGTTACAAAAGGAGTTCTAAATAATGAATTAATAATCTAAGCAAGCAAAATCTGATCTAGGGAAAGTCTATATGACGTTTCAGCATTGACAAGCATTTTAAGGCCTGCTTTAAGATCTGCTATCCCTTCCTCCAAAACAGCACACACAGGAAAGATGGGAACACCCTGGACCCTCCTCTTTAACTCTTTATACACTTCATCTGCACCCTCCTCATCAATCTTATTAGCAACTATCAAGGATGGTCGATTGGATAAACCATCTTGATGGTACTCAAGCTCAAGAATTAAGTCTTTCAGTTGTTCCCATGGTGGAATTCCCTTTCTTCCATTTAAAGCAGCAGCCAGGTCTACCACATAAGCAAGAACCTTTGTGCGTTCTATGTGGCGCAGAAATGCATGTCCGAGTCCACGATTTTGGTGTGCACCTTTTATAAGTCCAGGAATATCAGCCACGGTTATTGAGAGATCATCAAAGTTTAGATTTCCCAAATTTGGCCTAAGAGTAGTGAAGGCATAGTCACCAGTAGCAGGCTTTGCCCTTGATATAGCCCCAAGTAAAGTGCTTTTACCAGCATTAGGCATTCCCACAAAGCTCACATCAGCAATACTCTTGAGTTCTAATATAAGAACAGTCTCAGAACCTGGTGAACCTTCATGCAGAGAGGAGTGAACACTGTCAGGGTCCTGAAGATTAGATACGTGTTGACATGCCCCTGCCTTCATACTCACAGGCTTCCTTGAATCTTTGGAACAATATGCATTGCCCAGACCACCCTCTCCTCCCCGAGCAATGACAATTTGTTGACCTTCTTCTGTTAACTCGGCAACATTGTATAGTATCTCTTGTTTCTCCCCTATTTCCTCTGTACCAAATTCAGGAGCTCCATTAGAAGTGGAGAGTTTAGAAAATACATCTGTTGATGCAACTTGTCTTGATTTTTCAGATTTCTCAACATTTGTTTCTTCGGCTTGTGATGAGGAACAGCTAGTAGAATGTATTGCTTTGACTTCCCCACTTGTAATACTTGAGGTTGAACCATTGGCAGGGTAGGGAAGATCTTCAACAAGTGCTCCAGGAATCTCCCAAGGGTCTACATCTGTTGAGGATTGAATTTTAACAATAGAAGGAATATCACCGTTAACAAGATGAAGTACAGTGCCAATTGGTACGCGGGCAACCTGTTAAATAAAGCATATGATTTTGGAACGAGCTTAGTTCTGTATTACAAACATGTCCAGATAAGAGAAAAGAAAACTATGAATTGTTTTAAAAGAAGAAAGACAAGTAAATACCGATTACCTTATCAGCACCCGTGGTGCCTATCATCTTTTTTGATGATCCAGGTCCTCCTTTCTCAGCTATCTATGGGACACCATTAATGATTAGTGTGACCAATCATTTAGAAATGAAAATTTCCATCATTTCACAAAATATTTTGGCAGAAGATACAAGAGCATACCAAGTGACGCTGCAAACCACTGAAGTCCCAAACTCTGGGAGAGCATTCCAGAATCACATCACCGCCTCTCCCCCCATTGCCACCTACATTAAACACAGACACCAAAGTATCATTGTCATCAGCTTCATTGCATCCCATCCACATTTCTTAACATCAATCTGATAATAGCACTCAAGATAGCACATTTCAAACAGCTGAACAAATACATTATCATAAAATGATGAAAACAACAAATCTGATACCACAAAACTCTCATAATTAAAAATAAAAAATTAAACTTTGAACAAACAATTATGCTAAACACATAGTTTCAAATTGTGGTCTCCAACCACAATTACAGCTGCAATATTTCAGTTTTGAAAGTCTCTACTACCTATCTGTAATCCACAATTGCAGTTGCATTGGACCGCAAGTTCTGTAATCACAACGCAACTGCATCTGAAATTCAAAACCTTGGCTATACATCATAATAAAGAAAAGTAGAGAGAACACACCATCAGGTCTTCCCTTGCGTAAGCTGGAGCAACCATTACCTCCATCACCTGCTTTTGCAAATACCTTACACTGGTCTATCATTCTTCTCTCCTAAAAACAAATGCCAAAAACCCCAATGCAGTTCTCAGAAACTTAAAATAAATTACAATATGTCCATTTTGTGAACTAATCAAGTAGTAGAAAAAAGAGTTAAGGATCAACCTGCAAAGGTGCAAGCTTAGACTTCTTATGAGGAGTATCAGAATAACGAGCATAAAATGTAGTGGACCATCTAGATATAAACCTCTGAGTAACAGCTTCCATGCGTTTAATGCATTTTGCTTGAAATACCAACATTTGTGAATGTTGAGTTATATTTGCACAAACTAGTAACTTCTAAGAGTGGAACCAGGTTGGTCCTCTGTGTTTTGAAGCTTCACACCTTAAAATATGCGCAAGATTAACGTTAGAGCAATAGCACTCAGTGAAGAAAGTTATTTCGCATAACATTAGTTAGTCGACAAGATTTAATTAGTTAAATTTATGGGATTTCTCGTTGCGGAGTTTTGTCAAGCAAGTTTCGTGCATGCTTCGGCGCGTAACAAAAAGATGGAGTATTGATGATAATTGCATAGTTTACTAACTCGGTGTCAGTTATTTTGAGAATGTAAAACGTGATTGAGATGACGAAACCTTAATTGAGAATGATGCAGTGCAGAAGGATTTGAGACTGCCTTCAAAGAACGAACGCCAATATCTTCGCCAACAACACTCTTCTCAGTTCGGTAGATGCTGTCATGGGGATCCAAGGGAAAAGTATATTGAAATCGATAATGATACTAATTATTCTAAATATCACATTAAAATTAATTTTAATTACTTGATAGCTTAGAATATATATTCTTTAAAGTTTAAACTCTACCTATCATTCCTTCATGATCCATGAGATCATTAATTCATAGTGTTCACTGAAACATATTATATGTTAATTTAAATTTCTATAATTAAGTACCAAAATATTTTCAAATTATATTAAAAAAATTGTATATTAGATATATAATAAAAAAATTTAATTTAATGATTAAATCATTAAAATTAAATACATACTATGAATTATTAAGTAAAATAATTTTATTAAGTAAATAATATTATTCATATTTTCAAATAAAGAAAAATAATTTATAATTTTTTATGTTTAATAATGTCCAAGTTCAAGAAACATGTTGTTAATCAGGATATACAGTAATTATATATTTATTAATTTTGATATATATTAAAAAAAGTAAATATCAATGATGTTGTAGTTATAAAAGATATAATAATATATATGCAACAATTCACTGTAATATTATTATTTTTATTTATTTGTTTCTCATCATTAACAAATAAGGTGTTAAAAATATAGATACGAAAATAATAATATACGATTTGTTATACAAATATTAATTTCCTTTCTAGAACTACCGTCATAGGGATTGAGATAGAAATACGAGAATTTAGGTTTCATTTCCGTTGTATGAAAAATAAATAAAAAAGACTCTTTCTAAATACATGCATAGAATATCAATGTTTGGTTGTTTGTTTTTTTTACATGACTGAGGTTTTTATCTTTCTATCTCCATTTTTGCATGCATGTAACAACATAACATTCAAGATAGACAAGATCATTATAATTGGTAGAGCAGAGAGAAATGTGGTCATCGATCACTTGAAATACATGTCAACATCATTACTAAATAGAGTCCTATTAGTGGAAAATTAATGGGAGCAACAATTTATTTATAAAGGTTAAAAAATATATATCTAAGGAGTTCCAAATATAGGAAGCTCAAGTAACGTATAAGAATAATGATTTAGTTTCTTTCACAGAAGCATAAGTGATTCTGGAATAAATATCTAATGTGCCTATAATTGTTCGAATATTAGATTATTTAACTCAGCTGACTTCTTCAATAGTTCTTTGCATCTTCAGATGCATTTATGGGCATCTCTAGCTGGCTTTAAGCAATCATGAAGAAGAAAGTGAATCTGTCAATGTTTATATTTCAAATTACAATCATATTAAAATAATAATGAATAGTGAACTAAACAATCACCCGATTGTATCGATATTAGTTCTTCTCTAACTTTTTATCATAGAATGCTGTTAAAAGTCAAACATAATGAACCTTTACAGATTTGAGAAACGTACATTTCAAAATAAATAGCACAAAGCAAAAAGATAAGGCAAATTCAGCAAGCACATCCGCCAGACTCAGGTTGAGATTGATGGCCACCAGAAGATCTTAGGTTCACGTCAACCATATCTTCTTGTTTTGTGGAAGATAGTGTTTCCATTCCAGGTAATGCAGCAGCAATTTTTCGAAAGAGGGCCTAAATGTAGGTTTTACAAGTCAATACACAATAAGTCAAAACCAGAAAATATGTAAAATCATGCATGCAAATGAAGGTAATCTGATAACTGAAGCAGTTAGCCTTTTAAAATTTATGACAACCAAAACAAATATATCTCTGTTGGGATGGGAAGGGCCCTGTTAGTTAGGTCTTGTCAGTTGAGAGAAGGCCTTAAAATCTGTTAGAATAGGTCATGTAGTTAGGTTGTTATAAATAGAGGTAGAAGATGATGATGGGGTGTTTTGTATTTGTTTTGTAGAAATATATTTTTTTAAGAAGATCGCTATATAATTTATTCTTATAGAGAAGTTATAATACAAAAGTCAAATATTGATATCATCATATTCTTAAAAATAAGGAAATAAATTTTAAAATAATTCAAACAAATTAAATTTAAACATTTAAAATATAATTAATAGATTTCTAACAAAACTAATTTATTCTTTTCTTTTTAAAAATTAAAGATATATAAGCATATTTTCGATAGATGATAGGGGAGGGAGTAAGGTCTTAGTTGGATGAACTTTTCAAATAAACACTTATAGTAGAAGAAATTAAGGTGGTAAAATGAATTAAGCTTATATGCATAAATTAAAATCCGCTTTGGAAAAGTTAAATGAAATAACTTTTATGAATTAACTTATGCATAATTTTAACTTATAGGAGATTAATTCATTTTACCTTCTCATTTTCTTTTCTTATAAGTACCTATTGAGAAGTTTATACAATTAAAATCTTAGTGAGTGAGGATTAGTTTTGGATGGAGAGTCATTCTTGTAGATTTTTCCCTTGCCCATTCTGCTATCACACCGGTTAAGAGTGACAATTAGGTATTTGATTGATAAAATCTCGTTTGATTTAGTTTCTGACCCAGTTTCCATCAATCTCAACATAAAGGAAGGTAAATTTTGGAAAAGTCTATGTCTAGTAGAAATAACCAACTGTTGTCAGCACTGTTCAACATCTCACTAGAAAACGACACCCAGTCACTTACCACAATAGTTTATATGAATGTTATCTTCAATCCCACATTTGAACCATATCCAATATATATCCCAAGACAATGCAAGAGCTATAAAGTTAATGGTACGAGAAAAATAATTTCCAAGTATTTTTCCAAGGTTAATCGGAAAGAAAGTACATGTGTGCAGGGTTCAATGAGGCTAGACAAGCAAATTATTGCAAAATTATCATAAAAGAAGGGGGAGGCTTACCTTTATATTAAAGCCAGCTTTGGCACTAGCTTCAATGAACATGACATTTAGTTCACGAGACTTAGCTTCTCCTTCCTCTGTAGAGACTTGCCTATAGACTCGTGAAATAAAAGGTGACACCAGAAATGAGAAGCAGAATGGGTATTTAAATGAACCCTCTTAGGAGACATCAAAACAGCATCGTAAAGCAAACATGGAACATCTGAAGAACAAAACAATTCAAGCAACTAAAGCCAAGTAGCAAATCTATACCTTTCCTATGATATGACAATCACATGATATAGGGCTGTGCTAATTTCTAAGACTTTAGCTTATATGGTATAGTAGCAGTAACCTGCTGATATATTTTTGAAATGTAAGCAACATTCTTAGAGCACTGGTTAAAATTTAGGAGAATGAAGCACTTTCTTAGTTCACCAAGTCAGGAAACAACATTTATTTTGAAACTTGTGTTCAGCTAGAATTAAAAAAAAATCACATTTTAACAAGGTTTCCATGCAATTGAAGCAACCACACTGAAATGAGAGAAGGTCATTTGGGATAAAATATGTTGATAATTTTTTTACTGTCCCTCTTCCATATTTCCCCAGCCCCATCTCTCTCATATGCATACATATCTGATGAAAAATATACTTAAGAAAAACAAAAGACAAAATACCCAGAAAATGATGAACTAATAATTAGTCAAAATTGAAGAGGTACTAGTTAATAGAAAAACAAAAGAACCAGGCCATGAAACAGCCCATAATAAACCATATGATGAAGTCATTCTACATTTCTACCATTATTACCTCTTATCCACGAGATCAGTTTTGTTCCCAACAAGAACAATAATAACATCACTGCCTCTCTCACTGCGCACCTCTTCAATCCACTTTGATGTGTTTAGGAAAGTTTGACGGCCTATTTCATAAGAAAAATGAAAATTATAATGCAACCTTCTAAGTCTTCTAGAAAATGCAGAAAAATTTTATGCACAGATGATTGAAATCATGTAGAGAGATCCAAGAAGGTGACACTGGATAGTAGGCTGAAGCTGTCAGAGAAGGTTAATTTTCTAAAGAGTTTAGGTTCTTTACAATGTTTCAGTTAATTGACACAAGTAACTTCAGACTCTGAGGAACATGTCTTGTTCAATTGTGTTCCAGGTTTTAGGAGTCCTAGTATAGTTAAAGAAACCAGGAGGAGAGGGATTCTGCTTCCTTGGATGTTGAAAACTAGCATTTGGCTTCTTTCCAAAATAATGATGTTTCGGACACATATTCCCTTGAGAAACTTAAGTACTATTGTAATGCAAAAGCAGCAAAAAGAAAGGAATAGGTGAAGAGAAACACCCTAAATAGCATACTTGCAACATCATAAGCAATGACTGCAACAGATGAGTCCCTGATGTAGCTTGGAATAAGACTTCTAAATCTTTCCTGTCCAGCTGTATCCCTGTTGTCACACATCACACATGAAGAAAAAAAATAAAGGTTTTGTGGGGAAAAAAGATTAAAAATAAAATATTAAATGATGAAGGAATCCTGTAGTGCTAATATATGTAAATGCAATTAAACACATGAAACTTCATGAACCCTCACTCTGATTAACCAATACGCAGCAATTTTTAACACTTGAAGTAACAAAGCTAAACAAGATACAAATAGTAAGTGATACTTGAATTCTTTAGACTGCCTGCGAGAATTCCTGTCAACCCCTAAGAATTTATACTGATTACAAGTCAATTACCTAATTAAAGATAACTCCTAAACTGTAGGGATATGATATCAGGATATTATCCGTATACCAGAAAGTTATAAGCACCAAATGTTTCTGATTCAAAGACATTTGAATCGTGTTTAGCATTGAATCTATCAAGTTGAAAAAGGCATTTAACCAATGCATGTTGGTACAAGTGGCAAGGATCTTAATTCCACTTAAACAAGATCTTGAATTTAAGCCTTGCGTAAGAATTAAACAGACATTGCCTTCTTAAGTGAGTCTACCTAGCTTGCTTATGAAGTCTTTCCAAAATTTAGCATGGAAAAATTATATTGTTACGAAATAACATTGACACTCCCCTACCTCTTTCATTTAAAATAAGTAACCAAACAATGGGAGAGATTGAGAAAAGCTACCCCACGGTCCCCACCCCTCTTTGCCCTTCCATTTTATTCCCTAATATCACTATTTCCCCCATCCTGGTGGAATTTCCAACATGCCACATCTTACCATAGCTGCAGCCGAACAGTTCGATCTTCAAGATACATAGTTTTGGATAAAAAATCAATACCAATCGTAGCCTGTTTGAAAAGATAATAATAAGTTTAAGTACAAGAAAAAGACATAGCGACTAAATGTATAATCCATTTCAAAAATGTATACGGTGCAAAAAAACATTCAAGCACATTATGCTTATGAGACAACCTAGGTGAATGATAACCTTATTGAGAAGACATGCACATACACAAATGAGGAAACAGTTAACAAAAAGGTGTTTAATAACGCAGATTAATTGAAACATGTTCTGTATACTATGATCAAGTTGAATAACTGGATCACGCTGACATATATAACATCTAAATATATATTGCTAGTGGAAAAGAAAGTAGAAGTAGGAGAATACATGTATTATTTTGCATCATTATAAGACGAAGTGAAGAGAAAGAACCAAAATTTTCAAGTGAATCCTTTTCTTATATCCTCATATAGGCATTAAGAAAAGACAACCCAGACAAAAATAGGTAATTTATTGATAAATTATAAACACTTAAGATTGAGTTTCATGATATAAATGTTCACGTTACTGCCTTACTAAAATACAAAAATCAAAAACACAAGTCTTAGACATAAAGTCGTTCATGGGCTTCTACGGTTCTACCTAACAAACTTGAGCTTTTATGAGAGTTATTTAACATGGTATCAGAACCGCTCAGCAGCTATAAAGTTGAATTTTGGCATATTAGAGATATAAAACCAGCCATTCATGGGTAATTCTACCTACCACCTTAAGGATTTATTCATTGACAAAGAAAAAGGTCACATTTTCCATCCAGTTAGATACCATAATTGAAATTATTCTCTCCCTAAAACTCTCAATTATTTCACTTTTCTGTCCTTGCATTACCCTATAAATTAGCAATATCTATAGAATATCATCAATTATGATATATCTACATCATAATTGATCCCACAGGAAAACCGTGATCTATTAAAACTACTTTCAATACCAAAAACACGTATGATATATACATTCAGATCAATGATGATAATGGTAATTCAATGATGAGGTGCAGCATTTTATTTTTCATGATCATAGCAATGACATTGAAAGTAAAAAGTGGATCTGATGACCTGATAAGTGTTGTCAAATTTGTCATACATGAAGCGAGTGATGATGCTGGTTTTGCCCACAGACTGATCACCCAAGAACACCAGCTTGTACTTTGCAAGAGCCGACACTGGCGCCATTTTCACAACACAACACAACACAACACACCTCAATTCAACAAAACGCCCTTCTCATTCAGATTTCCTCCTTTCTCTCCATCATGCTCAACATTTTGTGTTACTCAAATTTAACCAAAAATATACTTTATAGGTGCACTACTACAAGTAAATTAATGTATTTTTTTCCAAGTGTGGATTTATTATATAAAGTAAAATTTATAATAAATTATATATAAATAAATAATACAAGTGAATATATAAATTATATTTTAAATTAGTAGAAATAGATATTTTAAATATATAAATTATATTTTAGATTTATAATAAATAAATAAGTTATTTTTAGTAATCTTTTCTTACCAAAATAAAACTTATTTTAAAAGAGTTAGAATCGTTGACATCAAACATTATAGAACTCGAGACGTTAATACGGAATTCGAATTTTCTACACTCAATTTATTAACCTGTTGATTGTCTGTCCAATTTTACATGATACAGGTAATCATTTTAAGGAAAATTAAATTATTATTAGATAAATTAATAATTTATTATATCATTTATATTTAATCATTAGTGCTGCAAATACATATAGATAATTGTATAATTATTTTCATTTATTTTTAACCACTTACGAGATAAATATATAAAATGTAATTTCCTCTATAAAATATATAAACCCTAAACCCTAAACCCTAAACCCTAAACCCTAAACATGTTCAATAACTAATTTGATGGATTTTTCAATAAGGTTACCTGTTAGGATTTCTAATACTTGAAATATTAGTTATGTAATTTTCTTATTTTAAAGACTATTTAAGAGGGAGAATAATACTTTAGAAGGAAATAAAAGGTGTTTTCAATAAATTTAAGAGTATTAATTTTAGAAGAACATTTGTAAATTTAGAATGCTCGTCGGGAGCTTTTGAATAATACTAGTTTGAGTAATTTCAATTTATAGAGTATTTGATATTGAACTAAAGGAGTACTGCTCTCCATAAAAGATGTATTTAGATTGCTTTCCACCTCTTTCTCATCATTTGTCACTAATAAACAGTATTTTTCACAATTTTTTTTCTTAGCAAACTACTATTTGAAATCTTGTTTAAATTTGGTATTTGTCTAATCTTTTGTTTTATTTTGGCCTTTCATTATGTATTTCAATTTATTTGGTGTTTCAATTTGGTCTTTTTATTAATTCCGGTGATTTTTTACTATCATAAATTTTCCTAATTTTTAGGACACAGTAAAATCATATTAAGGTATAGCACAACCAATACAAGAAAATCCATTTGCAAATTGTTAGAACACAAGTGCACAAACTCAACTGAGAAGCGTGATGATAACCGAAGGTTTTCCGAACATAAAATGTTACCATGTTCGCCAAATATGCAACTACAATTTGGCAGAATACTTGATAGACATTCAATGAAAATTGTTTTGGTTATGTATTTCCATATTTTGCAGAGGGGCTAATTGCTAAGAACATAATAGATCTAAAACTACTAGACTCGGTCTTCCCCGGCCACCATTGTCAGAATTATCATTATTGTTGTGGACACTTGGCTAGAAAGCCCTAGCAAGATGGAAAATCATGGTACCATGAACAAGTAAATCCAAATGAACAAGTTAAACAGAAACATATGTCACAATCCAAATGAACAAGTTAACTTCTAATCTTATCACACGTTTTATAGGGTACAATGAACATAATTCAATTCTTGGTTGGCCAGCTTTACTACTCTCTAGTACATTATCGCAGGCATAATCAACTAACAACAACATTCTAGACAGAACTTGTATCAACCCCTACCCTGCACCACTTGTATATTCTTTCATCTTTCATATAATGCTGTAGAAGACTAAAGTAAAACCTGCATAAAACAAAGGCATGACACAAAAAGGTGCACCGCACAATATAAGGCATATTTAACAAGAACATCCACTTGACTGGGGTTGAGATTGAGAACTGCCACTTGTAGACTTTAAGTTTACATCAACCATGTCTTCTTGTTTTGCAGAAGATAATGTTTCCATTCCGGGTAATGCTGCTGCAATTTTTCGAAAAAGGGCCTGTACAGATATCCAATAACAAAATACATGGTAAGTTGTAAGCAAGAAAAATATTAGAACCATATAAGGATCTCAGAAGTTATTTTCAAAAGAGAGGGGGAGGGAGACCATGCAGAAACCCCACGGGTTTAAACAAAATTCATATATGCAAGCAATTTGAAGCATATGATTAAACAGTAAAAAGTAGTTCATCATGTTGATATTCGAAGGTCCAAATACGTGTGTAGAGTCCAATCATCACATTTTTTATGATTCATTTGACTCTGGTCAGAAACAGAGCATTCAATGAAAATGTAGAGAAAGAGAAAAAGTTGGCAGTCAGTTACCTTTATGTTAAACCCAGCCTTAGCACTAGTTTCAATGAACATGACATTGAGCTCACGTGCTTTTGCTTCCCCTTCCTCTATAGAGACTTGTCTGCAGATTCACACAAAGATGGTTGGTAAAACAAAACAGTTAATTTCAAAGTGTGACACTAGCAAATCTCCAGAACTATATAGCAAGAACATACTATGCCTATGGAACATCTTTAAGGTCAAACTAACCATGCAGCTAGAGCCTGAAAAAACCTTAAATTTCTTTTATACATCCAAAACTAGATAAAGGCCAAGACTTGTCTTCTATGGTAGGTTTAACCTGCATGCAGCACATATTTAAGACTTTTAACTAGTAAGCAATATCTTAATTCTTAATCGTAAGCATTCCTACATCCCACACGTTGTCATCTTCCTACCCCAGACCAATAATTTATTCCTTCCCTACAACTTTATGTATGCAGTTGTAAGCACTTAATCCGTATATCAAATGGGTAACGGGATAATAAATCAGATAAAAGAAGGGATAAGGAAACAAATAGGTAATTGCCTAATGGAATTGTATATTGGACAAAAAAGGAGGTAATAATAGGAAAGAAATAAGATAAATAAGCCACTGTAACCAGATTGATAATGTCCTAAGTGATTCATATTACAAATTTACAATTTAATATTCTAGGTAGAAACAGTTACAGTTTAAGAACAATTAGCTAAAGTGGTCAGTTAAGTCAGTATGTGTGGTTTGGTTAATTGTTCTTGACTGAAATTAATTTTGCCAACAGTTCCCAATTTGATTCTCCCTAAAATCAATCTGACATTCTTCTCTTCATTACTCATTACCTTTTTTCAACAAGATCAGTTTTGTTCCCAACAAGAACAATAATGACATCACTGCCTCTCTCTGTTCGCACCTCTTCAATCCACTTTGATGTATTTAAGAAAGTCTGCCGACCTATACAACAAGTATATGAACTTTATCAGAAAGCGTTCTTGACAGAGCTCTCAACAGACATTTCATCCAACAAAATATTCAAATCATGTAGAGAGATTACAAATGGAATTTGGATGGCATGGTTTGCTATAAAAGGCTATTAAGCAAGAGTTGGAGCTAAATTACTATATCATTCTGCTACTTCCTATGGCCTAAACAAAAAATAAAATGACATCCTGCTTCAACAGCACATAGTATTTAAAATAATGTGAAGTCCATAAGTTAACAGTCAAACTCAAAGTTATTCGATAAGTAAACAATAAGAAGCTATATTAGCAGCTTCGATCAGATTAACTACAATTAAAAGGCACAAGCCATGTAAGAAGGCATAAAACAACGGGCAACAATAAAAAGTGAATAGAAAGCAAATCCCAAATTACGTACTTGCAACGTCAAATACAATAACAGCTACAGATGAGTCCCTGATGTAGCTTGGAATAAGACTTCTAAATCTTTCCTGTCCAGCTGTATCCCTGTCAGAACACATGAAAAGATGAGCATTTGGAAAGTGGAAAGCATCCACGCTGAGGAAACAATCACATAAGCACGAGATAGAAAACCATGAAGTATGCATGATATCTCAGGTTTAGAAATAGAAATATACTCGACTAAATAAAAAATATTTTATTTCTGTAGAATGTAGATATAAATTTTGTAAAAACTCAAGAACAAGGTAAGTTAAAAGTTAATAACAAAAAAAATACATAATGAGATGCAACAGGATATACAATATGAAGGATAACACTCAGCACATGATGTGAAACATTGAAGGCAGATTGATTGTAAACTAAAGAAACAAAGAGAAATCTCAAGAATTCATGCATGTATAAATTCAGTAATCTAAAGAGAAGTAAACTCTTTTGTACAATGGTCCTATTAATCATTATATAATTTCCAGGGAGAGAAGAAACTGATGAAAGACTACTTAATCTCTCCCTATATGCCCACAAATTTAAAATAAGTTATTTTTGCTCCTATTTGGGATGAACAGAAGTAAACTTAATTCATGTCAGCAGAAGCAAAATATGAGCATTGAGATCTACTGGAAAGTGAACCCTCGCATTCAGGTGAAATTTAATTATAATGTCATTATTATAAAGTAATTCCGCTCATCCTATTATCGCCTGTATAATAAAATTGGGGGAACTGTCCCATCCATGCTTTCCCTCCTCTTCCAATCCTTTCCTAAAAACCCAGTCGTTTCCTAACCATTTTAGAGCTTGTTTGTATATAAGCTAAAAGTGATTTTAAGAGTTTCTCTAGAAAAAAACTCTTTATTTTCATGTTTTTAGTAGAGAAATTCTCAAAAGGTCTTCTAAGTTTGTATCCAAATAGACTTATATTGTGACACATTAGTCCTGGATCTTACCACAATTGCAGTCGAACAGTCCGGTCTTCAAGATACATAGTTTTTGATAGAAAATCAATACCAATTGTAGCCTGCACGAAGGCAAAAATCAAAATCAATTAGCATTCAACAAAAATATACTAGTAAGATCAAGTTAAGGAGATGAAAATACATACATCCAAAGAAGCGGCATGCCTATTACACTTAGAAAGTAATCTAAGCCTAAACTCAACCAGATTACAAGCACACAACGAAAACACAAGTATGCATATTATAATCCTCGTGACGAAAATTGAGCGCAACAAGTCAGTAACAAGATCAAACTAAATGACAGACTAAGTAAAGATATATGGCCGAAATAGACCGCTAACTCATTTTCTTATTGAATCACTTTAAACTAAGATTTATAATCAAATCTATAACACAGAGTTGAGTTCTTCTACCTTATTATTTTAAATAAAATATTAATTATAATAATCACTCAGCATAGCAGTTTGATGGATAGACTATACCGAAAGGAAAGGCAAATCCCATTCAGAAGCAGGTATAAATCTAAATCCAAGCAAGCTAACATCGATTTTCTTTTAATATGCATAAAAAAAACAAATAATCAAATCAAACACCGAAGAATGAAGGTTTAAGAAGTGGTTTTAGGCTTAAGGAACTAAGTTGAGAGTTTTTGACGATTGGATCTGACGGTTAGGGACGAACCTGATAGGTGTTGTCGAATTTATCGTACATGAAACGAGTGATGATGCTGGTCTTGCCGACGGATTGGTCACCCAAGAACACAAGCTTGTACTTGGCCAAAGCTGAAACTGGCGCCATTTCGAAGCGAAAGAGGAATCAGAAGAAGCCGAGAAAAACCCCGACGAAGGCAGGGGTTGATCTCGGATTCTCGGCGAAAGGAACAAGAAGACGCGGAGAGATTTAACTATTGCACTTTATGTCTTATTTAATGGGATTGCATCCACGCAGCACCAAAATATTAAATAAAATGAAATTCAAGCCTATCTCAACAATATTTTAAAATAGAGTTAGTTAATAATCATCCTACACATGTTAATGTAAAGTTTTACATCAATCATATTTTTTAAAATTGTTTATTTTATTATTATTTTATCAAATAAGTAACTGACATGTCACTATTAAAATATATGATTGGTTGTCAGTGTAAAAAATTTTTACACTGACAGTATATAGGTGATTATCTCTTTAAAATATATATATATATATATAGACAGTAGAGTTCAAACGATACTGATGTAATTTATATTAAATATTTTTAAATTCAATCATTGAATTATAATTTCATATCATTTTATATGTTTATATCAAATTTTGTTAAAATTAAACAATAACTTAAAAATAATCAAAATGTTCATATTTTATTATATTTTAAAATATATATTATGTTAATTTTTTTTGTAAAAATAAAGTATCAAATCATTTTTTATTAATATAAAATTTTATATATATGATTTAAGAGTAAAAAAACTTCAAATTTAACGGTTGAATTTATAAATATCCTTATATAGGACTTCCAAGTTGTTTTAAACTATGTTTGATACAAAGTGGTCACACATAAGATTGTTACTTCATGTGAAAGGCATTACACATCACACAACTAATCTTGAAAAGTGTTTTATTAGGAATGACAATGGGGTAGGTCAGGACAAGTTTTGTTCTCCCCATTCTCACCCCCATAAAAGACGAGTTTGAGTATAAATTTTAAAGAGTTAAGCTTATATTTTTAAAACAACTTGGAAGTTCTATATAAAGATATTTATAAAAATAAACAAATTTCAATCTAACAGTTGAATTTGTAAATATCATTATATATGACTTTTAAGTTGTTTTAGATTATGTTTGATATAAAGTGGTTTAGGGTTTATGGTTTAGGGTTTAGGGTTCAGGGTTTAGGGTTTAGGGTTTAGGGTTTATACATAGATTGTTACTTCATGTGAAAGGCATTACACATCTCACAACTAGTCTTGAAAATAATTTTATTAGGAATGACAATGGTGTGGATCAAGATAAATTTTGCTCTCATCATCCCCACCTCCATAAAAGGCAAGTTTGAGTCCAAAATTTAAAGAGTTGAGTTTATATTTTTAAAACTCATTCCCATCTTCATTAGGTTTTGTTAGGTTTAGGTAAACTCATTGGAAACCTATCACTTTTTTAAATGAATTTTAATTTACTTAAACATTTTAAATAAAAATAAATTATAAGTTAATAATTATATTATAATATAAATAGTATAGAAAAAAATAAGAAAAGTTATACATAGAAGATTTAATAATCAAATTATATTTTTAAATAAACATATAATTTTAAGTTTGTTACTTAAATATTTTTATAGCTTAAATTATTTAATTATGAAAAATAAAAAAACTTACAGTCCGGTCTTCAAG